CTCATCGTGACATGCAACATACATCTCATGCAAGTGACAACATAAATCACATATGCATCATTATCATTTTTCACATTATACACATACTTGAATATCATATYGATARTATCAAGTCATCATAATCTTTCTCATCAACATCATCTTTCATATCATGCATATACTTAAATATCATGCACATCAATATAATCAAGTTATCATAATATGCATATAAACACATCATGCAATTATCATGGATAAAATACTTTTGTAATAATCATGTATATATYCMATAAAAATCGCATAATGTACTCACCTTGAATCGTTAACGTTCGATAGGTCDTTCTCTCAAAAACGGCAACCTACATGATAATTTATACCATTCCTAAGCATCTTAAATAATCGTAATTAAATTGATTACTATTCCTTAACAATCTTAACACGACTTTTCCTTTTATTGATCAACCCTCGATAACATCATATCTCATGTTTCACTCCAATATTTTCTTGAAATATTATTAATAATGTGACGTTGTTAAATATTAATTGTTGCTCGTTCATTTTATAAAATAAGCAATATACTTCACATTTTMTTGAATAATAAATATTCTACCAAAATAACTAAACTAAATAGTTCGCAACGTAAATAATGTTTTGTGGTCAAAACGTCTCTTTTAAGATTTGCAAGTAAATAAAGGTGACAACATGTCACACACATATAAATAACGGTCGTTCCATGACTATAAAGTTCAACATAATTAATACTCAAAATAATGTGAGAATACCAATTTTCCAAGTCTAGGGGCATTTCGGTAATTTTATAAAGCAAATGCGTAAAGTATCGCTAAAATACCGACTTTCACATTGTAGGGTCATTTTGGTAATTTCATAAGGATTAGATTGAAAATAACACTTAGATACCAATTCCCAAGACATTGGGTCATTTCGGTAATTTATAAAGCAAATACGTAAAGTATTGCTAAAATACCGAATTCCAAATATATGGTCGTTTTGGTAATTTTATAAAAATAATAATATAAAAATGAAACTCATAGACCAATCCCCAAGACATAGGGTCATTTCGGTAATTTTATAAAGCAAATACGTAAAGTATCGTTAAAATACCGATTTTCCATTTATAGGGCCATTTTGGCATTTAACGAGATAAATAATTGAAATGAAGTCAAAGTTTGCATTTTACAAAATACAAACAAACTTAATAAAAGTTTCATAAAATTTATATAGAGAAATTTAATTCTTAAAACTGCAGATGTTAAAAGTGAAACTCAGATGTATACTGCATATTAGCGATATAAACGCAAATAAAACAACAAACCTCATACATAGCCTACTAGTTAAATTGTTGAAGCATTTGTGTGAGGTCGTGGGTTCGAAACCCGACCTCAACGCTCACCTTTCAATTAATTTTTAATGGAAACAAATGCGGGTACTGGGTCGGGCCGATCCGGTTCGTGACCCAGTTGAAACCAACAATGAAAACAGCAAGGAACAGTAGGTGATTTAAGACCAAAACTGCAGCCATTGCTGCCCGTTTTCTAGCTCAAAGAACTTGAAAATGACTCGTTTCTTGATCGTTTTTCTTCATTCTTTATGCGCCAAACTCTTGGTAATATTTTTACCAACACTTTGACATAAAGAACACGAATTTTCATCAAGAAATGAGTTCCATTTACTCATTTAAAGTTTGTTTTTAAAACTAAAATTTAACAACTTAAAAACATAAAAATCGAACAACGAAAACACAAATATAAGACATGAGGCTACTGGGGTTTGATAGAGTACTTAAAAACGAAGTCATAGACATAAAAATCAAGAGATTTGGTTAAGAATCTCACCTAAAATCGGTGAAAAACCGAGATTTTTTATTCCGAACTTCAAACTCAGATTTCTCTCTCAAAACTCAACGATTTTTCGAGCTATTTGAACCAAAACGTTCCTAAACCAGAGCTCTACAATTTATATGTCAAGAGTTTTGGCTTATTAGTTGAATAAATCGGACAAATCGTGAGTTTTAGGCTGATGGGTCGTTTTCTCAAACAGTTATGTACTTTTGGCAAAACAGGTCCCTCATCTTTGAAAAAGATGACATTAGGCCCCCTAAAGTTTCTGATATTTACCATTAGACCCCTCCTGACGTAATATCTTACATTTTTTGTCCAATAATTAAAAGAAAACAATTCTATTTTATTTTCATTTTTGTCTTTCTTTTTATTATTTATTTATTTAAGATTTCTACTTTATAATCTTTAATTAATTACGAAAATATTTTACATTTCAAATAATTTTAATAAAAAAAATATTTAAAGACCTATGTAATATTATTTATATATTTAATAAAAAAATGGGTTTTACAGATTCTCAAAAATGGAGATTTTGAGAATTTTTGTTCCAACAGTTTTTCAAAACTTTCTCCAAAAAATAGAGAAAATATAAGAAAAAATGAAATTCAACAAATTTAGAGATTTTTTTCCAGAAATGATTATTTACAAGAGAGAAATGACTTTTTATTCATTCTACCAATAAGCTTGCTTGAATTTAAATTTTCAGGGAAAGAATGAAAATCTGCAATTTCGTTGACTTCGTTCACGATACTAATTCTCGTTGTTAAGAGCTCTATAGCCCTTTGAAAACACGCACAAAAGTTAAGAGTTAAGGGAGATTACAGACTTAGAATCGAGTTAGGGTTTCTTGTAACTTGAGGTAACCAACAGTCGATAAGCTCCTATATGCTTTTCAATCTAACGACTTATTGTGGAAAGTTGATTATGAATAACTAATTGAAGATTTTGCTTCCAACAGTGTCAGAAGAATAATTTTATTTAAATGAATTTTGTATGTCACTTTGTCATTTATGACATTTTATTGTTTTATTTTGATAGGCTTTTAATACATATATGGTGTAAACTTTGTATTTTGTTTTATATATTACCTATTTAGTCGATTTATAGTTTTTATACAAGTATAACAGGACATTTAAAAAAGAATAGAATCGCCCCGACTTATAGCAAACAAGCCCTCGTTTCCACAAGCATGTAAAAAGAGCATTATACTTTACAGAAACAATCAAAACTTTGGACGAAGGGTTGTATATACAAGTTCTTTTCGAGCAATACTTTCATAGTGTACTTAAAACAACTCGTTTTGTTTCTTCTTTTGTTCATATCGTCATCAGAGTTGAGGATTGTTAATATGCAACAAGAAACACATTTTGGCCTGTTTGATATATAGATTTAAAAGCTTTAGATAATGCAAGGTCAAACAAACAAGAAGCAAATGACTTCATGTTAGAATAATAATATCGAACCTATAACAATCAGATTTAAAGAGTCGGTTACATATCAGTAGAATTAAAAACCACTTGAAATACTTAAATATACAAAGTCCATGAAAACCACTTTGAGTTTTATTCTTGAACCAACTAAAAACATATAGTTGTATACATGAATAAAGCAAAAGACTCGATTCCATCAAGCATGAAGTGATATCTCACACAAATAATGGAGGAATGGCATAACATTCTCTTAAACACAAACATCAGATATGCGGAATCACTAATGATTTCTGCATCATGCTTGGCACATATGCACAAATCCAACATCCAAATCAAAATACAACTTTTTTTTTTCATCCTAAATGTCCCAATTGACACAATTGGGACCTTTCGATCGAGTTATAACGTTTTTTTACTCTAATGCATCCCGCCTCCGGAAACCTTTGCAAGTACAGCATCAGGAGGTGGTGTAGGAAGCATAGTAAATGCAAAAATCCCACTTGCAGCAGCCGCAACTGCTCCCACCACAAATGCTGGTAAGTTGCCGCCGCCAAACAGTGCGTCCCATGGTCCACTTAGTACTGATACCACCATCTGTAATTAGAAACAAAATAATTTGATCAATAGCTATACATACATGAACATGTTGCATCAAAATGAAACATGCTTTGCAATTACTAATTAATGGTCCCTATTCAGTAAAACCTACTGTTAAGAAGTTAATTTTATCGAATACTTTCTCCGTCACAAAATAATTTTATAGTTTCTTCACATTAGAACCACAACAAAATAGGTTTTGTTTTGATATGGCATAGGTGATGTTTTGGCCATGTGGAATGGTGACAAGTGAGAAGGGTCCCAAAATTAATAGGTGAGGGACCAACCACCCCCCCTACCATGTTAGTCCAATGGAAGTCAAATAATGGTGTGTGTGAAATGTTTTGGTTTTAGTCAATGATGAGAAAGCAATGTAGCATGCTTCCACTTGATGGCCAAAAATGTCTCTTTAAAAGTTCAATTGCTTTAGATGCATATGCAAATTCACATACAAAACTCCATTTGGAATATTGTGGTGACCAAGCCTACATGAGTCCAATTCTAGTAAGACTACAAGTCTCAAGAATACTTGTGTTGTTTGGTCATAAATCAAGAGACACCCATCACTTAGTTTTAAACTAATTCCACACAAACCTACAACTTTCAATTGGACTTTTGTAACAAAAGTACAAATCCTTTATGGGTTTTATTATAAAAAATCTTTATAAAGTTTGAAAACCCCATTTTGTTTTATGAACATATTTGTAAAAAGGAATATTAAATGTTATCGGTTTGGAATTATGGTAACGAGTTGGAATAAGAATATGTACCTGAGGTATGACGATTGCAAGATTCAAGACGCCAAGTGACAGACCTGTAATATTGGTATAAGATAAAAAACGATGATGAGAAAAAAAGAATAAAATACTAGAGGTTTGTATCTTGTGATTATTGGTTCGGAATCAGATGCAATAATATAATATTTGTTTTTGTGTTTTTTTTTTGTTTCTAGTTGTTTTTTTCGAAACAACAGAGAAAAAAAAACAGAAGACGGTTTAACTTTACCTTGTCCGGCTCCCGAGTTGTTGCAAAATATCGAGGCAAGAGCGCAAGGAACACTGAACGTAACCTGAAATTATAAAACATAAAAGTGGGTTAAGCTTGAACTTTTCGTTAAATTATAAACTTAAATAAATCCATCTTTTAAATAGAAACGTGTATGAAAATCATCTTTTTTGAATAATATTAAATTAAATATTTTAATTGTTAATAAATTAACCAAAATTATATATTCCATAGATAAAATGATGCCAAAAAATAATCTCTTTTTGATAAATAAAAAAACAAAAGATTTAACGGATTCCTTGGAATAATTATTTTTTGCATATATACTTTTATTCAAGGAATATATTCCTAAAATTACAAAATTTAAAAACAATATTAAAATATTTTTAAAACAAAATAAAATTAATAAACTTGTGAATTTGATGCTATTAATAATTAGTAATTCATTGTAACTAAATTGTTGTTTGTCTACTTCTTAATAGTTTTATTAAGAGGCAGTGTTTGAATTGCTAAGATGTGAATCTTGTTTGTCAAAAAAAAAAATATGTCTCTTAATGGTTCTAAAACCCTCTGAATGATTTTGTATCATGTGTTTTCCTTAACCATTTAGCATCCTAATTCCATTGTAAACATTTATCGAACAAATATATTTTATTTTACACTATATTATAAAAGTCTCTTAATCATTCTGACCACTTTATCATTTTCCACCAAACCATTCAACAACTATCAAACAACCCCTAATACTAATAAACAAACTTGAGTAAAACAAAACCAAAATCGTTAATATTTTGTTTGGAAAAATGTTCATAATTGAAATGACACACAATTTTAAACAAACATAATTATTGTACTTTTTTTGTTAAGTAAATGACATATTTACCCTTATTTTATTTCTTTCTATTCATTACTTATAAATATTTATATATTAATTAAGAATAAATTTGAGAATTTAATTACATACTTTTGAAAATGTTGGACCGAAAGAGTATGTGTAATAAGCTGAGACCGGTAATTAGGGTTTGCAGGTGTAATGGTTAGAATTACTCACCGCCAGTGGAGCACCGAGGACGGCAAATATGGTCAAAGCTCCGGCCTTGACACCGTCGTTGGGTGGCAGAGCAGTGACGGTTCCATCCGGCAACGTCGTGTACTGCCTCGAAGACTCCGCCATCTTCGTCACCAAAACCGTCATCGCCAAACTCACAGCTAGAAGAAAGTTAACACCACCCCACAACCGCTTCACACCACCAAGCCATCGAGCCAAATGCTCGATACAAAGTGAAGCAATACCGGAGATGACGGAGTTAAGCATCAAACCGAGAGCTCCGGCACGAACACCACGGTTGTAATTCCCTTCTCCGACCTTTCCACCGTACACCTCCTTACCCATCCAATCTGTGTCAAAGAGCAAAAATGGAAACCATGCAATCCAGTTGAGACACGTCACCAGTAAAAGGATCCACATCGGACGTGACAACTCCTTCAATGCACCATACATTTCTCCGAAGAACACCAATTGTTTTCCGGTTGATTTTCCGTCGTCAACGACTTCCGGCACCCAAGCGTCTTCCGACACGGTGGCCAGAGCCAACACGGTTATGATTACTAAAAGTGCGATGGATATAAAAAAGCAAGTTTTCAAATTGGCACAATACACATCACAGGCGGCGGTTTTGGTGAAGGGAGCGATTCTGTAGAGGTGAGTGTAAGAACCGGCGGCGTAACCGAGAACGTTTCCGACACCCATGAAGAAAGCAAACATGGCGTTTCCGGTTCGGATCCGACTAGAATTGGACCCGGCTAAATCGGCTAACAAAGCTCGGCATGGACCTTGAAGCGTGTTGTTAGCAACGTCGAGGATCCAGAAGCCGACCACGAAAACGGCGATGGCTCGGGGTTTGGAAGGAGCGCCGATTTTATCACCGGTGGAGACACCAATGTCGGCTGCGTAGCCGATAAGGAAGACGGCGATGGCAACAAGGAAGGCTCCACCCGCGATGAAGGGACGGCGGCGACCGAAGCGGGAAGTGCAGCGATCGCTGTAGTAGCCGACGACTGGTTGAACGATCATACCGGAGATTGGACCACAAAGCCAGATGAAGGATGACCAGGTGTGGGGAACACCGATTAACTGAACATAAGGGGTTAGGAGAGAGAGTTGGAGAGCCCAACCGAACTGAACACCGGCGGCAATGGCGGCAACCATAATAATCTGCCATATGGGTCTTTGAAGAGGTGGTTCATGGTCGTTTTGCAGCTGCAAGGGTGCTCGTGGTTGCTGCTTATCGTTTTTCATATTAACAGGAGCAGAATCCATGGTAGATTGATGATCTGCAACAATGAAATTGAAAGTGGTTTATGTGAGTGAATGAATGAATGAGGAAGCAGATGAAGAGGGTATTTATAAGGTTTTTGGCGGCTTAGAGAATGATGAGCTGGATGAGGGTTGAGCACTTGGAGTAAAAGCCTTTCAGTTTTGGATAAAATTACCATTAAGGAATAATACTACTACCACTTCAAATATTTTACTTTTACCCCCTATAAAATAACCAAATTACATCTCCTCCTTCAATTTTCCTAAATCCAAAATCTATACCCAAAATTTCATATATTGTGTTCATATATATATATATATATATGTGTGTGTGAGATTCTTTTACATGTAAATTTTGTCTTACAATCAGTCTAAAAGAGTCTTCGGTGATAAAAAAAACTCATATAAAATAATACATGATGCATTAATTCTCAAAGTTTTTACAATTTCAATGGTTTTCAAAAGAATGTTCAGAGACGTACATATATATATATATACTAGAAGTGTACTCGTGCAATGCAGCGAGATACATCGTGATTTTAATATTTCATTTTATTCTTTATCTCAATCGATGTTATAATATGGCTTTATGTGATTTTAAGAAAGCGATGATGTTTTTATTTTTGAATAAAATATATGTTTGAAGATATCATAAAAATTTGACAAAAATATATCGATATTAGTATTAAATTA